ATGTTGGACCCTGAATAACTCACACTGTTGTAGGAGCACCTCATTTCTGACATGGTTTTGCTCATTGTGGATTCTCTGATATCTCGGTAGGATTGTGAAATTTTGCCATGGGTGGAGCATTCAGAGTGCAAACCTGGATTCCCTGGCATGCCTTTCAGAGGAAATAATCCACTTAGTTTAACTTTTCAAATGAAGCTAGCAGAGAAAGGCAATACTGCAATACTCTATTTAGGCTTGGGACCTTCCTGAACTCCAGACTGTGGGAGTTTGGAGCATCCCGGGGATATGTCTCTACACACTCTCCTGGGAATCTTCTGTTCTTTGCTGTAGAGGAGAGGATCATAAGAGGAACTTTCAGTTAGACCCAGAACAGCTCCATGGGTGTAATGAAGCATCTGCTCAGTCAGGGACCATAGGCAGAGACACCTTAAATCCAGACTGGCTCCCTGCTGGCTGCACACACAACTGGGATCACTGGTCTCTTCCTCGGCCGTTCACTCTCTGCCACACATGGGCACCTGTGGGCATTTTATTCATCCTGTAGCTCTGAGCAGGAGGTTGAACTAAAGACCTTCTGCCAGCATCTCCCAGGGTCATTGTTTCTGCTGACACCTCCCTTGACTTCCCCCTCTGCTCCTCCCAGAGGGGCTGCTGCCCTGGGTGATCCAGGCAGGGACCACGTGTAACATCCCTGCCAGGAACAGCCCGTGTTAATAGGGACACACTCAGCACAGCCTTTCACCAGTGGATCTTTTATCAATGGACAATGCCCTCAGGTACATGAAGGGATTTGTTAGGTTGTCCTGTGCAGGGCCAGGAGTTGGACTCAATGATCCTTGTAGGTCCCTCCCAACTCAGGATATTCTGTGATTCTGTGATCTCAAGACCTTTTAAGAAAGTGTTGCTCAAAAAACCCCTTTGCCACTGAGAAAGAGGGAGATGGGAAATGGCACAGAGTCATCTCTCAAAAGGGGACAGGTCCAGGTGCTTTTACTTTTGGGCCAGCTGGTCCCTTGTGTCCAGATCTGCAAAGTGAACAGCAACCTGGATCCCCCCTCTGCTTGGAGCTGACCAAATTTATTGGTAGTTGGCATGTGCTGGAGAGCAGAAAACTGTGAAATGCATATGGAAAGTTGGCTCTGAGGAATTTTATCCCATGTCCCTGTCTCTTGACTGTCTTGACAACAAATAACAAAAATGTGGCTTGAGAGAAAGCTTCAACAGATCGGTCTGACTACCAGTTTCTCCAGTTTAAGTACAGAATAGGAAGGACACACCACTTCTGCTGGATCTGAACCTGCCATAATTCAGTTGGATCTTCCTTACTTTGTGTATCACAAGGAACAAGAAGGCTGGAGAGAGACTTTGGATAAGGGCCTGGAGTGACAGGACAAGGGGGAATGGCTTCCCACTGACAGAGGGCAGGATAAGGTGGGATATTGGGAAGAAATTGTTCCCTGTGAGGGTGGGGAGGCCCTGGCACAGGTTGCCCAGAGAAGCTGTGGCTGCCCCTGGAATCCCTGGAAGTGTCCAAGGCCAGGTTGGACGGGGCTTGGAGCAACCTGGGATACTGGAAGGTGTCCCTGCCCATGGTCTCATCAAGATGAGATGGTCTTTGAGGTCCCTTCCAACCCAAATCATTCTGTGATTCCAGGATTCTATAAAAATGCAGACCTGCCTCTGCTCCCTTGTGTCAGGACTTTCCTGCTACCATATTGCCATTCACACCAATCTGAATAAGATCAGAATGAACCAGAAAAGGTTAGAGTTAATCCTGTCAAGTTTTTGGTTCTACATGTTATAGTTCAGCAACTCAAATTTACCTGAAGGGCAGTTATTACCTTCCAGCTGTATTACATCCTACAGCTCCAGTGAGCACAAATGCATTGAACAAAGACTGAAATCTGTCTGGGTATTGTATGATTTTGAGAACAAAAACTGAATATCTTCCTAGGCCACCAAGACAAATGGCAGAATCAGAGCACAACCAGCTGCAGCTCCAAAACCAGGACACGAAGGAAAAAGTCCTTTTGCTTCCAAAGTAAACTTTCTCCCTCAAGCTGAGTAGAACAGCACTCAGAGGCCTGCAAAAAGGGTACTGATCCCTCAAGCTTCCAGCAGCCACCACTCCAGGGATTTCAGAGGAGGTTGATGGTAGTTAGTTGTTTACAGGACTGAGTCCAAATGGACTGGAAAGCTCAGACTCTGGGAAGCTGACTGATTATGTTGTGGTAACCAGCAGAATGCCTCAATTAATTCCTCAATTAAATCCTCAATTAGCTTATCAGATGTAGGACAGGCTGAGCTGGACAAGGCAGTTGATGCCTCAGCAGAATCCTTTGCCAGGCTGGAAGGAATGTGGAAATGATTCAGGATTAAAATTCCTCTGGCCCATCGAGTTTGCCCCAGTGCAAGCACAGCAGGACCACAGCCCCGGGCGGTGGCAGGGACAAAAGCTGCTCTCTGATCTGCCCCCGCGGCACAGCCCCTGCTCGCTGCTGGACTCTTAAGGCCGTGATCAGCCTTATGCTAGAGAGATCAAGAGGGAGAGATCAAATAAAGATGTCAGTGGTTGCATTGGAGTGAATATTGCTGAGTTTATGTTCCCGATGTTCCCATGGGCTGCTCGCGGCTCCCTCTCTCCTCAAACAGAGGCAATGGATACCTGCAAACAACCCAGGTGTGCTTGCACAGAGCTCCCCTCTCTTCCTGACCCAGCTCCTTCTAGTCCTCCTGGCTGAAAGCAATCAGCCCTGTTGCCCCTCACACTCTGGGGTGTCCCAGGGTTGTGGAACTCCCAGCTGAGCTCTCAGTGTCCCTGCTGGGATGTGGGAGCTCAATCTGCAGGTGCCACCTCTCTTTTCTCACCTTCAGCCCCTTTGAGCTCTTTATGCTTTCATGCCCTTCACAGAGCTGGTCTCTTCTCAGCAGGGTTTGGGTTTACAACCTGCTCATACCTCACAATCTGTCCCTGTGGACAGGAACGTTCAACAAAACGAGCTGGAAGCAAGAGCTTGGCTGCAGCTCAGCAGGAGAGAGCACCCAAACCCTCTGACTGCACTTGAGGGTTTCTTCTGTAATGACTCACTTCGTACAATGTAAGAAATTGAGGCAGAAATTTGTAGCACAAGTGTGTGAATTTTTCTTTATTGACAGTTAAGCAAAAACAGTATAAAAATTAGCTATGAAGTGGCCTCTAAATTACATCTCTAAATTACCCATTACATCTCCATCAGCCCAGCAGAAACAGAGTGCAAATGGGTTTGTGTCAAGAATGCAAATGGTTTTATTACAGGAGTTTTGATTGAATTAGCTAGAAGCTCAAATTATCCTGCAATTGAATTAACTGAAAGTCATTGTCCTTCTCACACATTTCACAAAAATTTTAAAGAGCACTTACAGAAGGGTTTGGTGTCTTTAGGGCTGTATGACCTAGGAGTGATTTGTCCTTTCCTGTGAAGTGCCTTCTGAGCCGTCCCACACTGACTGTGTGGCACGCTCATTACCAACCAACAAAGCATGTATGCACCCAGAAAGGGATTGAAATGCCTCAACTTTTTTGCCCCTTCAAAATTAGAAACTAAATGGCAGAGCAGAAGGAAGAGGCCACCCACACAATCAGGTTCAAAGTGTAGCAGTCCAAAGAAATCAGTGCAAGAGAGTAACAGACATTTCAGCCTGGCAGGTATCCCTTAAGGGGCTGCTCTGTGGGGCTGTTATCTCCCTTTGCGGTGGGTAAGGGGTGTCACTGGTGGTGACAAGCTGTTCACAGGCGCTGTGCTGCTCAGTCATAGCGTGTGCTGTACTGCACCTGCAACGCACACAGCCACGTCTCACTTAGGATTTTTGTGTTTGATCTAGTGGCTCAAAGCCCATCCAGCTCCTGAAAGAACCACCCCAGTCCTGCTGATCCCCTGTTCCTGTTACCTGCTGCAGACAGAGGATGGTTGTTAAAGGCAAAGCTTTTTGTCAGATGTCTTTGACTTAGGGCACTGACAAAAACACCCCATGGGTGTGCCCCTGGAGCTGCCATCCCTCTGGGTGGGACAGCAGACCCCACGTGACTTGGGCAGAGCATAAGCTCACCTGCCCTGTGAGGTTTCCTTGCCAATTCGGCTTCACCTCTGTAGAAGTCCATCCAAGAAAACTCTAGGGCATTCTTCCTCTCTCTGTTCAGTGTCAACCTGCATTTCCTTCATTCTCTGTCTGAAGCCTTTGTTCCTCTCCTCCTCTCACCCAGTTTACCAGAAAGAGACACTCAGGAGTGACCCTGTGGGACCTCATCTTTCTCAGCCAGAAACACTGACCTGCAAACAACTCTGCCTGCACATTTGCTCTCGTTTTCTCCAACCCTCTGCTCATGCTGATGTCCTCTCACACCAGCTTCTCTGTTTGCTTTTCCCTTTGTCAGTGGAGCTCCTTCTGAGTGTGCTGAGCTGTTCTGAGCCGTTCTTTGGCCAAGGCCAGGTCCCAGGGCTCACACACATCGCTGTGCTGGCAGCACACACTCTCCTGCTGATGATCACATATGCTCTGCTCCGAAAACGGAAGGAGGATTCCACCATTTTACAGGCAAAAAAACCTGAGGGAAAGGGACACCTGAGTGAGAGTCTGTGTCATCTGTTCTCTGAATGACAGTGACCTTGTCAGATTTATGTTTTAGACTGAAACACGGAGATCTGATCTCACCCCTTAACTCTGCCCAAAAATCATATGGGGCCTTCAGCAAAACACCAAGTGCCTTCATGCCTACATCACAGGATCATAGAACCACAGAATGGTTTGGGTTGGAAGGGACCTCAAAGACCATCTCATCTTGATGAGACCATGGGTAGGGACACCTTCCAGTATCCCAGGTTGCTCCAAGCCCCGTCCAACCTGGCCTTGGACACTTCCAGGGCTGGGGCAGCCACAGCTTCTCTGGGCAACCTGTGCCAGGGCCTCCCCACCCTCACAGCCAAGAATTTATTTTTAATATCCAGTCTAACCCTGTCCTCTGGCAGTGTAAAATCATTGCCCCTTGTCCTGTCACCAGGAGTCCTTCTCCCTCCTTTTTCAAACTTGTGGCAGAACCCGACATTCTCCCAGAGTTGTCTGGCTGATGCTGGTCCCTAAAAGTTATTTCTTGCACCTTGGAACCCCTTTGCAGCTCCAAACCTTCCCCTGTATTATTGGGACAAAGTAGCTCCCTATGCCTTGAGTAGAGCTGAATCCCACACTGAGGTGAGACTATTCCCAGAGGAATGGGAAGGCTAAAATATTCTCTGATTATGCAGAAATCACCTTTGGTACCAGGCAAGTGTTGAGTTCAATCATTACAATTCTCAGTACAGGTTTAGAGACAGGAACAGAAGAAGGAAGCATGTGGACAGAGCTTTAAGTGAGCTCCAGTTGGGCTGTTTCCTGTGATCATTGAGCTTGTGGGACACTTACAATCATGTGGCAGAGAAACAGTATTTTAAAAAAATTCCAGTCTTTGGCACATCCACAGAAGCATCCTGAATTAGGGACAGGTGTAACTTCACATCCCCAAAGCTCCTCTGGGATTCTGGTGTTCCCTCACAGGGTTTCCTGTGACACACAAGTCTCACCTGATTTACCAGCAGTGGTGGCCTCTGTGTGTGACAGCCCAGATGTGACCAGATGGCTCCCAGTCCCCATGTGGGGAGAGGGCTCACCTTGAAGTCCTGGCTGGAATTTGTCATTCACTACTGAATATCCTGCACATGGTCACACACAGACAAACACCTTTCCTATAGCACATACCTCAAAATGTTCCTCTTGGATCAAGGCTGAGACATGATGGGAGCCAAAAAGGTGCTGGGGGAACAATAAGCCTGGTGTATGTTTTAATTCAAGGAAAAGTGTTACAGAGAGCCACATTTATTCTTTTCTCTGACTTTTCTGCTGAGGATACAAATTGTCTGGGAGAGACGTGACCCCTCCACATGTGTTCGGGCAGTGTCTCACCTCTTCCTCTGGACCTGGCACTCCTGGCTGGCACAAACAGCAGACACTAAAGTAAACCTTGGCCACATTCTGTTTATGTATTGTACACTGCAAATAATGAGGCCAAAACCTGTTTTGCCTCTTGGCACCTTGGTGCTTTGCTGAGTGTTCCTGCCCTGCAGAGCTCTTGCTTCACCTCTGCTAAATCTGACCCTTCCTGAGTGACTGCATTGTCTTACACTGCACTGACCCCTGTTCTGTGCCTGGCAGTGACCTTCTGGTCCCCAGGCAGGTCGCACCCCAGCAATTCTGCCCATTTACCACACGCCCAGACAGACAAGCTGTCCTGCACTTCATCACAACAGCAAGACACGCGGGACTGACAAGGGCATGAGCGGCAGGGATGGTTTGGGTTTGCTTGTGGAACCCGCAGGCACACCCTGCCATCCCAGGCTGGAGTCACCTCCACAAACGTTCCTGTAGGTCTCTCACCTCGTCCTTCCAGCTCTCAGTACCAAGCCTCTTCCTGAAAATTCGGTTCATTACCACGACAATGACTGAAGACCAGCTCTGTGAGATAATTTTATAATGTCTCCCTCTTGTTGTTAAAAGGAAAGGGAACAATTAATCTCCTTGGTCAATAAGAACCGAAGGTGTTATCTGGCAGCAGATAAAATTTAAGTCTTGAAAATACAAACCCAACAATCAGTGCATGAAGATTTGGACTCTGGTCTGAGAGATAACAGAGAAATTCCCCAGATGAGCAAGCTCACAACATCAAAGAGGCTGAGGAAAATATAGAAATATGACAGGCTAAAAACATTAGAAGCAGATGATTGAGTGCAAACCCCGGTCAGCTTGTTCTCCGTGGGTAGCATGATCTCTTTTCCCTACGCCATTCTTTTTCTTGAACAGCTCACTACAGAGTCCTTGTCCCAGCTTTCCCTGGTCACTCCCAGAGGCACCTTACAAGGCTACAGGACTCACAGACCCATCACAGCACTGCAGATTGTTAGAAACCTAAATCTCATGGTTCATGTACCAGGGCCAGCAGCCCTCCTGGGAGCAGAGGTAATTAAATTTTGCTCAGTCATGCAGGTAGAGAAACAGCTCTTGATAATCCTTCCTCTTGTCCTTGCACGCCTCATGCCTCATGGCAGCTGGTCTTGCCTCTCCAGAACCCATGAGCTGGAAACCCAGAGTGCTGGAGGAGCTGAGGACATCCTTTAGGCTTCAGATGATCTGTCTGGTCTCTCTTCTCAGAAAGAAGGTGTCACAGAATCACAAAATCACAGGATGGTTTGGATTGGAGAGGACCTTAAAGGTCATCTCATTCCATCCTTCATGGGTAGGGACAACTTCCACTAGATGAAGCATTCCTGGCAAAGCCCCCACCAGCATGGCATCCATCATGGAAGCAAACTCCATTTTTTAAAGAAAAACATCTCATTCTGTGTCATTCATCAAATCTGCATAAGTAAGATGAGGCCTGCAGCTGCACCCTCACCAGCCTGGCCAAACAGTGACCAGTAGTTTGACCAGCATCTGTCCCCCCTTCAGCAGCAGCTGGCTCTGGCACAGCTCTGTGTGCTATGTGGAGGAGATGTAACCCTCACCGAAATGAGGGACCCAGGACAGGGCAGGGTCAGCCCCTCCACTGTTGGACAGTCCCACAAGGGGGCTAAAGCTTCATCTCTCTGGGACTGCAGGTACAGAGGACACAAGACCACAAGTCACCAGCAGAGTCAGTAATGAAACTAGAGAGCTCTGACAGCCATGTTATTGTAGATAACAAAAGACTGTCCCAAAAGGGTTGAAATACTTGACTCCACCTTACACACGAGAAACTGAGGCACAGAACCGTGACATGACCCCCCAGGGCTGAGGACTGAGAGCTGGTCTCAGTCCAACACTCTGTCCAAGGGCAGCACAGGCTTCAGCACACAGACTTGAGAGCTTAAATCCCCATCACACGTCTTCTGCACCTGTAGAACTTTTTCTTCCCTCCCACCTCTTCTCTGGTGATGCACTGCCCCACCCTCAGCCAGCTCTGCTCGCTGCTGTCTCCACATCAGGTCACAGTTCTCTGGCCAAAGGATTCCCTTCCTAGTGTGGATGAGCTCTGCAGCACCTCAGTGAGTTCAACTCCTTTTCTCCCAGGAAACAGGCAGCTCTTCACCATGGAGAAAAAGAAGTAGATAGGAAGATGTCTGAAGGTGAAAACCCCCTGCCTGAAAGAATCAAGGGTGCGTGCAGTGCTCCAGCATCCGGTCCTGAGTGCAGCTCTGAGGTCACCTCGGGTGTCACCACCGCCTGGCTGCCTCCCTTTGTTACTGTAGAAACTCTTTTACTGGTCCATTCCACCATCTAGTGGAGATCTCTGGAGAGGACACACACCAAGGCAACAGGGCAAGAGCTACCACAGAACACAGAACCATGGAACAATTAAGGATGGAAAAGACCTCCAAGATCATCAGGTCCAACCTTTGCCCACCACGTTCACAAACCAGATGATGAAGTGCCACGGCTACTCGTTGTTTGAACACTTCCAGGGATGGTGACTCCACCACTGCCCTGGGCAACCTGTGTCAACGCTTAACCACTCTTTCAGTGAAGAAATTTTCCCTGATATCCGGTCTAAACCTCCCTGGTACAACTTGAGGCCATTTGCCCTCCTCCTGTCCCTTGTTCCCTGGGAGCAGAGCCCGACTTTCTCCTGGCTCTATCCTCCTGTCAGGGAGTTGCAGAGTCAGAAGGTCCCCCCTGAGCCTCCTTTTCTCCTGAGTCCCCCCCACCCCCCAGCCACTCCTCATCTTGTGCTCCAGAGCACTGTACATGTACAGTGTGCACTCCTTCACACACCCCTTGTTCCTCCCTCCTTCCTACAGTATTTTGTATTTTATTTAAGATCTGCCAAGACCCTTTGGTTACTCAGGGTAACCTCATGTATTTACTTTGCACTTAGTTGAAAACTTGATCGAGTTCAGAGCACAAGTGTAGACTTGTAAAGGATTTGAGCACTTTACACGAACCCTTATTAATCCTGCACATGGAAACCTCGAGGAGTCACATACAGAAGATTCACAGGGAGCGTCCTGCAATATGGAAGCGGGAAAGGACAGTGTTTGCCATTTGCCAGTGACTCCACATTGCCCCTGTGAAGTTTATATCAATCATGAGGTGAAATCCAGTGGTCAGCACACAGTGGAAACCAAATGTAGGAGAGCTTCACCAGTGTGTTCCAAGGCCTGGCTGGCACTGCAGTGGCTTTGCTCCATGTGCTGATGGGAATTGGTTAGGAAAAACTAAAAAATGAGGATTATTACAGTCACCTCTACAGAAGACAGACCAGAATCATACCTCAGGTAGTACACATCTGAATTACTAAGAATGAGCTTCCACTCCAAGCCACCAAAGAAGCCTTTTAGAAGACATTTGGATCACAGCAGGAACTATTTCGTCACCGCTTCAGCATCCACAGAGTAAGAAGTGAGGGTGAATCTGGAGTAGGGCAGATGACAATCACCCTCATGCTTTGATTTTGAGATGCCTGGAATATTCTGTATTTAAAAATCAGCCAAGATGCTTTTCACAGATACTCAGAGGCAGAGACATCCATGGCACTTCAGCAGCACATAAAATGATCCAACTGGAGGTGTCCAAAGCCATGTTGGACAGGGCTTGGAGCAACCTGGTCTAGTGGAAGGTGTCCCTGCCCATGGCAGGGAGTGGAACTTCTTCTGGTCTTTAAAGATGGTCTTTAAGGTCCCTTTCAACCCAAACTATTCTAGGATTCTGTGATTCCAAGTGTCCAGTCTGTTCTTGGTGATTCTAACCTTCTCCTGCAAAGCCCTCTGCTGTTACCAAGGGATAGGTCAGGGTGAATGGGGATGGTGACAGGGATGTCCTCACCCACGCCGCTGGATGGCATTTGGAGCAGGCACCAGTCCGAGTGCTCATGCACTCTGAAACCCACCCAACCCCATATGACTGAGACAGGTACTAAATGTAATATCAGACACCTGTGGTGATGAGCAACACCGGTAACAATAAAGACAAAGTGTTTTCTGTGCAGTGCTGCCCAGCGTGGGGTGGCAGCTAGCCCTCAGAACTGCCAGATTTCACCAGTAAGGAAGAATGCAGTTACTCCAGTCAGGACATTTGCAGCCTCCTCTTAGCATGGTCCCTCCTGAAGATGACAGCGTGACCTATTGCAACAAGATTTTGAGAATGGGATTTCAGTTCAGGCAGTGAGTCTTTTCTCTATGACCAGTGAAAGAAGTGGCTAAGGATGACCCTGCACTGGGGTGTTTCTGACAGTGTGCATTGGGTTTGCATGGCTAGGTTTTGGTAGCAGGTGAACTACAGCAGTAGCTTCTGTGAGAAGCTGCCAGAAGCTTCCCCCATTTCCCGCAGAGCCAATGCCAGCCAGCTGCAGGATAGACCAACAGCAGCTGGCCAAGGCCAAGCCCATCAGGAATGATAGTAACGCCTCTGGGATAACATATTTGAGAAGGAAAAAAAGTTGTTGTCCAGATGAAAATTGCAGCCAGAGAAGAGCAGAGTGAGAACATGTGAACAGCTCTGCAGACACCAAGGTCAGCGCAGAAGGAGAGGTGGGAGGTGCTCCAGGACCTGGAGCTGAGGTTCTCCTGCAGCCCATGGTGAGGCAGCTGTGCCCCTGAGCCCATGGGGGACCCCACAGGAGCAGGGCTCCTTGAGCTCTGGCAGGTTTGGTACATCGGGAGGTCCAGAGCAGGCAGTGACCTCACAGGCACCATGGTCTCACATGAACCCACAGACATGTCTGCCAAGGTACCTGTTTATAGGACACCCCACCTCACTCCACACTGAGCCAATTGGAGCAGCATTTCATACCAACATGGCACATAAAACATCATCACCTGCTTCAAAATGTTTGTGCATCTTTGTCTTCTCCATCTGATCATTCTCTCATATGCTCTTCAGTTGGAGGATAAGGGCCCACAGAAGCAGGTTTGGCCAACCTTTTGCTTGTAGAGCAGGGCTTGCATCTGGCAGACATTAATAATAAGCAATATATTAACATAACAACATAGTAACATATTATGTAATTTATTATCACTGTCATTAACACAATATACATGTAACATCACAATAAACCTTTTCCTGTACCAATAGGTCCCTGAATAACAAGGAAGTTCAAGTGAGTATTTGAGGATTCCAGTCTGTTCATTCCGCATAATCCCAGTAACACATTAACATTCTCCAGAGCTATGCCAGTCCTCCCAGCAATGTTTTCCAGTTAATTTGTTTTGTTGTTAATCAAATCCGGTTAAATAAACAGAGCGGATCCATTTAATCTCATTTCACATTTCTGAAAGGAAAATATTCAGTCTGTATTTTACTGAGAGCTGAAAACAAGGCACTCTAAGGGCAAAACTTACTAAGGCAAAGTTAAGGGTGAGACACACACATACACACACATACACATACCTTCCCCCACTTCTCCTCCAAAAAGTTGATGTAATTTTGCATAAGCTGAAATATTAGTGATCTGACCTTTCTGGGTCACTGTTATTCCACACCATTTAATGCTCATAATAGCTCCCACTGAGTGTAGTTCGTCTGACCCCTGAGGCCTTAATGAGGCACTGAGAAAGGGATTTGTGCGTCCAAGAGGAGATGTTCACATCTAGGTTACACAAACCCCCCCAAATAAGGACTTGCCTTCAGCCACAAGGCATGAGTCTTATGGCCTACTCATGAAATGGGAAAAGCTGGGACATCTAGACCCAGCCCTAGGAGAGCTCAGCCTCTCTGTGCCTTGTTAGGATATGCCCTTAGATAGTGACAGCCTGAGCAGAAGACAGAGCACAGACACACCCTTCCTGCTGGGCACTGTCACCCTATCTCACTGTTCCCAGACCCAGCACCAGTATTCCTCAGAAAAGCTGCTGGAAATGTTTTTCTCACTTAGGAGCTACTTGCAGAACAGAAGAAAGCAAGAGGGGTCCTTCATGGAGAAAGAGATCAGCATGGCCAGACAATTCTGGCAGCAAATGCTTCCCCCAGGAGAGCCCCAGGCCCTGAACTCCTGTGCACACTGTGCAGCTCAGTGTCAGCAGTGGGGGAGAGCCCCTGTCCCTGGAAAAGCAAGGGACAGCTCTGCCCCCAGAGCTGATCAACACACAGGGACTATGTCCACGGAGAAATGTGCTGGCACACTGGCAGAGGAGACCAACAACGACAGAATCCACCTCAGGAGCAGCTGAGGGAGCTGGGGGGGCTCAGCCTGGAGAAAAGGAGGCTCAGGGGGGACCTTCTGGCTCTGCAACCCCCTGACAGGAGGGGGGAGCCGGGGGGGGTCAGGCTCTGCTCCCAGGAAACAAGGGACAGGATGTCGAGGACCAGGAATCGGAATGGGAACGATTCCGGAAATGGAAAAATATGTACAGCGATTGAATGGACTTCACACATTGTGTGTTTCCCCCGAATTTGTATCTTCCGGGCATGTCCCGGCCTGCTCACCTCCCTGCACCTCTGTCTTCTCTGCCGACTGGCTGGAGAAGCTGCGGCAGGAGACAGCCCCCATTCGCCCTTTCCTCCCCTGGTCCCTCCTGCGCTAACCCCCCCCCCCCCCCCCCCCCCCCCCCCTTTTTTGCCCACGGCTCAATCCTGGTTTGTCCCCCCCGCCTGTCTGTCTCCTGCTCCACCCTATGTTCTGGCCCTTTCCCTCCGGATAAAAACCCCGTGTGCACGCTGGAGTAAAGATTCTACCTGCACCCCACCTTTGTGTCTGGGATCCGTGCCGTGTCGCGGCCCCATTCCCCTCCCCCGTTCGGACCGCGGCAACAGGAGGAGAGGGAACGGCCTCAAGCTGTGCCAGGGGAGGCTCAGGTTGGATATTAGGGAAAAAATTCTTCATTGTGTTAAGGAAATTTCCCAATCTGACCGTTCCTGAGACTCTGGCAGTCACACTCCCAATTCCAGGCACTTTAACTGCTGGGACCGAAGCCTCTCCAGTGACCCAAGGAAGGCACTGACTCCCCACACACCCAACAGTCACACAATCAGACCAGGTTTCCTCACCGGTTCCACCCCAGGCTTCCCAGAACAGACCCTCAGATGCCTCGTTCCATAATGCAATTTATTCATGGTGCAGTAACACAGGAACAGCTCCAAGCTGGTGCCTCAGAATAGGGACCCTGA